AGCTCAAAATGCTGACCATATATAATTGAATGGTTACCATGTTGGGGGCAAAAGATGAATGAGGGAATCTTACAAACAAACTAGAAAGATCATTTGAAACTTTCATAAGTGGGTATGACTATTTGACACTGTGATATGATATCATCTACAATTTTCACAATTATTACCTGTCTAATTAAATGTCAAAGAAAAACCTCGATGTCTTTAATAGGTTTATGATTTTTGTGTTGTGCTGTATTTATAGCTATGGTGGACCTCACATGGGCATGTCTGTATGTTCTAAAGCCTGTCATAAGCTTTTTGAAAGTCATTATCTAACTGCAGGAATAACTAAAATGCACTATGATTCCCAGAAGTTTAGTATTTGAAGAAGACAGTACCTGCTTGTTCTTTCGAGTGTGACTCAAGGAGCCCAGCATTGGATTCAAAATGGAGGAAATATAATCTCACTGTAGAACTTTTTGCAGAGCATTTGGCATTATGAATACAAAGTGCTCATATGACTACTGAGTATTTCACTTGAGGATAGAATACTATTCTGGGAATTAAGAGAGATAAGACATATCTCTAGTATGCCCTTTGGAGTTACTAAAAGAAAATTGGGGTTGGGAGTATGGGGTAGACAAAATTTGGGAAAGGATGAATGAGGTATTTGTTATGAGTCACTATAGTAATGCTGTTTGTTTGGACACTGAGTTTTGCTTCAGAACAAAGCCAGACAAACTTAATGTGAGTTTGAACGTTAAAAGCAAGGACAACTGGGTCAGGTTTATGGTGACTATGGGCAATTAGCAGAAACAAAATCAAATTTTCTCTGGTATTGAAATATCACAATGAGCTCAATTAATAGATAGAATTAATACATGCTGCTCAAAACTCAGTAATCTTTCATTTATAGTGGCTCTCATCTGGTAGCATCTTATAACCAAATAACAATGAAAGGATTTGGGTAGTGGCTTAATGATATAGCTCACTTGCCCTATATTCCATCCCATTTATTGAAGATCAAACATACAAAGTGAGAGACACAGAGACAGAGGCAGACACAGAGAGAGACTAAAGAGAAATATTAAATGAGAAGCAAGTCCCACATATGATGATTCTTAAAATTACAAACACAGATTTTAAGATATACAATCCATGTTACATTTGAAAAAGAATGTTTCAAAATGAAAAATAAACAACTGCAAGTAGGAAGCCATTAAAATAGTCTGAAAGGTTTTTGTAAAAACAAACAAAACTTGAAGAAGTAAAAATTGTGATTTATAGACTAAAATATAACAATGAATTCATGAAATAAAATGCTATTCAGCGATGAAAATAAATAAATCACAGCTCAATCATCAATTTTCTTTTCTTACATTTTCTCTTTTCATTCCTTCTGATACTCTCACCAGGATGTGAGCTGAACAGGATAAATAGAAAATCTGAACAAACAGAAACAGAAAGCAAAATGGATTCTAAGTCTCATAAGTTAAAAAAAATACTCATGCAGAGGCACATTATAAAGAACTTTCAGCATACATTAAATGTACCTCCCAAATAGTAAACTTTGTCAGAAAAAAAAAAACATTTTAGATTAATAGCAGGCTATTGAATAGTAAAATCAGAAAAAGAGTTTTTAGGCAAAATGAATACTCTAAACTCTATACTCAAATGTTGTGGAATACTATTTTAACCAGGAAAAGACATGTTACATTTGTTTATGCTGCAGAATATTACTTTCACTATATAAAGTTGTGTTACTTTTGTTTATGCTGCATTTGTTTAATTATGTAAAGATGTGTTGCATTTGTTTCCCCTTGTCTGTCTAAGGCATCTAATTGGTCTAATAAAGAGCTGAATGGCCAATAGGTAGGCAGGAGAGAGATAGATGAGAGATAGGTGGGAATACCAGGCAGAGAGAATAAATGAGGAGAAATCTAGGCTGGAGAGAAGGAAGAAAAACAAGAGGGAGAAGGAGAAGAGAATGAGGGACATGCTCAAAATCAGCCTGCAGACATGGGAAGCAGTAAAAGTAAGATATACAAAAGGAAAGAAAAGTAAAAACCCTTACAGTAAAAGGTATATAAAGAGAAACAGGTTATTTTAAGTTAAAAGAGGTAGCCAGAAACATTTCTAAGCTAGGACAAGCATTCAAAATGAGTAAGTCTCCATATCATGATTTGGGAACTGATTGGTGGCCCAAAAGAAAAAGCCTGGTACTTTCAATAATATTAATTTATCTTAATTGCCTAAATTAACATAGGTATTGAAAGACCAGCATAAATTATAAGACATTTATGCACCAATAACTTCCATTAAAAGGGTTTTATAAGCAGTGATCTGGAAGAATACATAAAATTGGTTAAAAAAGAAAGAATAAAGAAAAGAGAAAAAGGACTGTCTGAGCAAATACAAAGGAAAATCAAGTATAAATCTAGGAAACACAAATATGAAGTTATTTCAATAATGATAGGATTATGAAATTTCTATTTAATCTAATGAAGATGATTTAAATTTTAATATTGTGCTGTTAATTATACTGTCAACTTGCCACAACCTAGAGTCACATGAATACAGAGAATCTCAAATGAAAATTTCTGGCAGTCTGGTTACTCTATACCAATGTCTTTGAGAGATTATCTTGATTCATAATTGATGTTGGAGGACCTAGCCCACTGTTGGCAGCACTCTCCCTATGTAGGTGAGCCTAGAATATATAAAAGGGTTACCTGGGCATGAGCTGCCATCTAGCAAGAAATATCCCTTCATTGTTTCTGTTTGTGTTCCTGTTTAAGTACTTGCACTGACTACTATCAATGATAGTCTGTGACATAGAAGTGCAAAATGAAATAAACCCTTTTGTTCCTCAAGATATTTCTGATCAGAATGTTGAATAAAAATTCCAAAGTAAAATTAGCACAATTGTGTTCTAAGGTCTTTATATGATATATTGAATATTTATGTTATTCACTTGAAGTTACTTACTGTTTAATTACTGTATGTAATAAAATTTAATGTGAAATACAATAAAATAACTAAAAGTAGCAAAATTTTGAAGGCCCCAAAATGAAAGAATCCTAAACTCAACATTGAAAAACAAGAAACAAATTTCATAAGCATAATAAATAGAAAATAGTAAGATAATAGAAACAAATATCTCTATATATAGAATGCCTATAAATGCATTAAACTTATCAATTGAAAATGGATTATCATATTTGATAAAATCAAACAAAGATAAACATTTTTAGATCTTTCTTTAAATCATCTAGATCATAAAAAACATCTAGATCATGAGGTATGAATGGTAGAAAACTAAATAAAGAAAAATTTTAAGGTTGGGGAAAGTGTGGGCTCTTTATGGAGAGGGAGGGGTTAAGTATAGAAGAAGGTAGGAAAGGGCAAAGAGAACAGTAGGGCAAGTTATCTGATAGAGAAAAATGAGAAGGGTGTCCTCTTTAGGAGAGAAGGAAGAAGAGGTCCTAAAATAACAATGTGAACATCTGAAGATACCACAAGGACTCATACCACTAACTATTTACCTGAGAAACTTTTAATACATATAAATCCATATGTAAATATACATACATAGTTTTAGTGAACTTTCCTGATGTAGGCTTATGGTGCTTACTCCAAGAGCCAAAAACCACCTAACAAATACATCAACACCTGACATGAGAATCCCTCCTTTGAATTGTTGGCCAGGGTTGCTCAAAAGACTCCTAAAAAATACAACTTATGGCTGAAGCCCTTGGTTACATGCCTCAACCCTGCAGAGGTAGAATGTAAGCACCTATTGCTAAAGACAGAAGCACTTCAATAGAACTGACCTGAATGCAACCTCCCTGAGGACTGGCTTTCTTAAGCACCAGAAGGTACCATGCAAGCTTCCAAAGGAGGAAGGAAACCAACTGTCTTACCCAGCTGTGATGCCTATGAACTACAACGATGACAAACATGGCATAATAATCCTATGCTTACAGTGATGCCATGCATACCTTACTGGTAACAAGCAAATTCTCCAAATGAATTAAATACCCCGTCAACAAGAGAGATACCATGCCTGGTACTGGAAAACTAGGTAACTAATCAGTGCTAGTGAAGTCATGGTTATTGGAGGAGAATCTAAAATCACTAATTATGGAAATATCACAACCCCTAAAAACAATCTATAAACATTTGTCCTTATAGCCACAGATAAGTGTAGTCCTCACCCTTCATCAAGTAAATTTCTCACTGAATCAAGTGGCAAGCATTACAGAAAACCACAATTAAAATGCAGAGTTGTGGAGCCCAGTCTGAATGGATAAATCTATAAGATACTCCTGCATCTAAACCTCAAGGAACATTTTAAAAGAGGAGGCAGAGATAAGAGCTAGAGGCCTAAGAAATTTGTTGTAAGATTATAGCTCCTCATTTTGTCAGTAGCTGTATCTATAAAAGCTCACCAATATGTGTAGGGAGATACCCTAGCCCCGCCCCAGGCAACCCAGACAGGTGTGCCAGGTGTGCCAGGCGTCCCCGTGAGGGCGGGATAAAGGGAAGTCAGGGGTGATGTAAAAGGAGGTTCTTAAGGGCTGTACGTGGAGACCCCGGCCCTTCTCTCTTCTGCTCCCCCAGCTACCGGTGCTGGTTCCAGCTACCTCCCTCTCGCTTGTCTGGTGTATCTAAATAAAGAAAACCTTAACACTATTGGCTGCGGGCTGGTCACTCATCAAATATGACTATCCAAAGATAAGCTGAACAAGGACAACACCAATAGACATGCTAAAGTGGTTGGTAAGATAAATCTGTGTAATCTCAACCATACACAAAGGACTGTAGGCAACTGAGGAAAGCTTAAAGTGGTGGTCTTGAGAGGTGTCTTACCAAGGGAAGAGCATACCAACTGGCTGTCCAGAGTCAAATGATCATCCCTAAAATGATACATACAAATACCAGACTGAGAATGTTATATTTAGAAATATATGCATATACATATATGCATGCAGTAACAATTGATGATTAAAGAGGCCATGCATCTGAAGAAGAGCAGGGAGGGTGATATGGGTGAGTTTGGAGAGGGGAAAGGAAGGAAAGAAATGTAATCATAATATAATCTTAGAAAGCAGAACTAAGTAAGCAGACAATTTTTTAAAAATGAAATAAAATAAAAAGCAGATTATCATATCTTGTAAAAACAGAAAAACAATAACCAACTCTAGGTCTTTAAAAATATCTAAATCCTGATGTATAAAGGGTAGAAAACTAAATAAAATGAAAAAATATTTATGTGTATAATTATAATAATAATTGACCTGACAAACTGTTTTGAAAATGTAGTAGAAATGAAGTTCTCTATATTAATTTGATAACACTCAATTCACCAGAAACATAGTTCACAGCCGGCCTCTGCCTCCCGAGTGCTGGGATTAAAGGCGTGTACCACCAACGCCCGGCAAGTACCTCCATTCCTTTATCCAGTGATGACATCAGTCAACACACCTATTAACAAAAATTTCTCAGTGACTTTGCCAGGTATTATTATGTATGTTTTTCATTTGGCTATCACAACTTATGTGAAGTAATATCTCATTTTGTTTTAGTCTTAACCCTTCTCTGATAATGACCTTTTCATTTACCCACTGAACATATTTATACATTTATGTCTTTTTAAGAAACTTGCATTTATGACCTCTAACTGTGTTAAACTTTGGTTGTTTTCACTTTGATATTGAATTATAGATGTACTTTAAATGTTTTTAATATTAATCTGTTGTAAGATATATTTTAGTAAGTATTTTCTAATTCCATAGGCTCCATTTTGATGTTGCTTCCTTTTCCGTGGCAAAGCCTTTCAACTCGTTGCACTATGCCTCACTATAAGTTACTTTATGCCCATGATTTGGAGCTTGTATCTAAGAGATCATTTTCAAAACTCAACATACATAATTCATACTTATCAACATTGTTTTCTTTGGAATGCTGTATTCAAGTTTAATGCTTAAATATTTTCCTACTAGAATATATTAATTGTGTAAAATAAGGGATTTCATTAGGAATACATAAAGGTGTTCAACATCATTTATTAGCAGAAAAATACAAAATGAAGACTATATTGAATATATTTGAATATACTGAAATATTAAATATATCTCTTGCACCTTAGTCAGAATGACTATGATCAAGAAAAGAAAAGCAACAAATGTTGGTGATGATGTGAAGTCAAAGGAACTTGTGTATTGCTGACAGGAAATCAGAATGGAGGTTCTTCAAAAATTTGTACTTAAATATTTAATATTGTTGAAGGTGATTTTGTGTATGGTGAAAGATATCATCCCACTTTCATTCTTGCACATGTAGATAGTCAATATTACTAGCACTGTTTACTGAAAAGACTATCTTTTCACAAGGTTTTTGTTCTTACTAACTTTGTTAAAAAGTCAATTGGCTTTTGAATTGTGTATTAATTTGGGAAGTCTGTTATTCTGTTTTAGTGGCTTATATGTGTGTTTCTAGGTCAATAATTTTGATTATTATAAATTTAGAACATATTTTGATATCAAGATATACAGTGTTTTCAATATTATTTTGTAATAATATTTTGTAGATCTCTAAGATTTCTAGGAATATTTCCTATTCTTGTTTTTTTAGTTTTTCCTATAATTTAATCATTTTTTCTCCCTCAAAACCTCCATACCTCCTGCCCACCCAGCTTTATATTCTCTGTGTGTCTCTATCTCTGTCTCTCATTAAATTTATAGTTCTATATTAACTTTTCTTTTCTGTTTAATTTAAGACTATAAAATAATTCCATTTCTCCCTTCCCTTTCTTTCCTCCAAGAGCCCCTCCCCATATACCACTCCCTAATCTCCTTCAAATTCCTGGCCTCTCTTTCCACTGCAGTTATTGTATGCATATATGTATATAAACATGCACATCTATTCATACACATATATACAACCTGTTAACTTCTTATAGTGTCACTTGAAACAGACAAAAACAAAAGGTAAATTCAAAAAACAATAAAAACTAAGAAACATACAAACCCACAGAAACAGAAATCAAAATCAATAAGCGAAATGCCAATATTACAAAGAAAATGGACAAAGCAAAATGAAACAAAATTCTACAAAAATCCCATTGTGTTCACTTTGTGCTGGTCACCTACTCCTAGGCATAGGTCCTGTACAGAAGAGTGGTTAACATACCCAGTGGTACTCCACTGTAGAAAATTGATTTTTCTTTGGCACATGATATAAATTGCATGTAACTTCTTGTTGTAGGTGGAAGCTGATGTCTATTTTGCCCTATCAGTGCTGGTACCCTGTGAGGCTTGAACATATATAGATATTGTGCATGATGCTGCATTTACTGAGAGTTTATGTGTGTATTAGTATTGCTGTGCCTGGAAGAACTATTTCCTTGGAATCACTCATCACTTTGGGCTCTTATACTCTCTATACCTCCTCTTCCACATACCATCGTGAGCCTTGAGGGGAAGAAGTGCTTTGGTGAAGACCAACTAATCCAAAATCTCTCACTCTCTGATGTATATCTCTATGTTGCCAAGTACGGTAAGAAGCTTCTGTGATGAGGGTTTAGCAAAGCACCGATCTATGGGTGTCATTAGGAGCATATTGCTATGTTCCTTTAGCAGAATAATAGCATTAGATTTTCCCCTCAGAGAATGGTCTATCTAGTCTCAGGTTCTTGGCTACTTAGGCACTGATGGATATAGGCCCCATCTCATGGAGTGAACCTTAAAATCAATAAAAATGTGGTTGGTTACTCACAAAATATTTGTGCTTCTATTGCAGCAGTATATCTTCAAGGAAAGTCACTGTTATGGTGATGGTTATCTTTTTCCTTTGGTGCAAAGTACCTTCCAATGCCATGAATGCTAGTCAGTAGGGGTAAGTGTTGTTTACAGCAATAGGGTCTCACCATCAGGGTGTGGAGAGCAACTGACAGCTTTGACAATATCCTATGTTGTTTGAGAGTTTCCATGTTGACCCTCTGGCCAACTCTATCAGTTAAAACCCATTCTTGGCACTGAGAATGTTAGTTGGTTGCATGAGATACCTAGCTGTGTTGTTGCCTTATCTATTCTTTGGTGACTCCATTTAGATTCCTTTTGTAGGTATAAATTTTAGGACGCTTCCATAATGGTAGGTTTCTGTGTTTTTTCTGTCTTTTTTTGTTAGTGTTTTTTAAATATATATATATATATGTGTGTGTGTGTGTGTGTGTGTGTGTGTGTGTGTTTGTGTGTGTTTAAATGTGTATATATGTGATACATATATATATATATTGCTTAGGAAAAAAAAAAAGAATATTTGGTATAGGGGTCAAAATTCTCAAATATGTTCTAATTCTTTTTTCTCCATTTTTTTTATTTGAATTAGAAACAAGATTGTTTTACATGTCAATCCCAGTTCCCTCTCCCTCCCCTCCTGCCCTGCCCCCCACAACTAACACCCTACCTATCCCATACCATTTCTGCTCCCCAGGGAGGGTGAGGTCTTCCATAGGGGGTCTTCAGAGTCTTTTCCTATATTCCAACTTTACATTTCTTTTCCATCCATCCCCTATTTAATACTCCCATTTTAGTTATCTATACATCTTAATAACACTATATTCTAGTTCACCTTCCTTGGAAGATCTTCTTGTCTCTAATCCCTTCCTTAATATCTAACTTCTGGGGTTATTCTTATTTTAAGACATGTATTAAATACTTCAAAACTAACATTAACATATAAGAGAAAATATACAATATTTGTCTTTTGGCGTCTGGATTACATCACTCAGGATTTTTTTCTATCTCTATCCATTCACAGAAAATTTTACAATTTCATTTTTCTTGATTGATGAAAAATATTCCACTGTGTAAACATACCACATTTTCGTTATCCAGTTGTCACTTGTTAGATCACTTCTAGGCTGTTTCCAATTTTTATCTATTATGAATAGTGCAGCAACAAAGGTGAATATGCATGTATCTCTACAATAGAATGTAGAATCCTTTGACTATATGCTCAAGTCTGATATAGCTGATGCTTGAGGTAGATAGATTCCCAGCTTCTTAAAGAACCACCATGCTGATTTCCAAGTTTGCATTGCTACCAGCGATGAATGTATTTCCCTTTCCCTTTATCCTAGCCATCTCGTGCTATTATTTCTTTTATTGAACTTAGAGTTTCTGACAGGTGTAAGATGAACTCTAAAAGTAGTTTCGATTTACATTTCCCTGATGGCTAAGAATGTTTAACATTCCTTTGTTTCTAAGCCATTTGCATTTCATCTTTTGAGAACTCTCAGCTTAGTTCTGTTGCCCATTTTTTAATTTGGCTATTTGTTTTCTTGGTGTCCATTTCTTTTTACCTCCTAATACATTTTGATGTCCATTTCTTTTTATCTCCTAATCCATTTTAGACGTTAGCCTTTTATCAAAACTTTTTCCAATCTGTAGGATGCCACTTTGCCTGAACAATACTATCTTTTGTTGTACAGAAGCATTTTAATTTCATGAGTTCCCACTTATTAATTGTTGGTCTTAGTGCCTACAACTCAGTGTCCTGTTCAGAAAGTCCTTTTCTGTGCCAATGAGTTCAATGCCCTTAGACAGTATCTTTTCTATCAGATTCAGTGTTTCTGCCCTTATATTGAAATACTTGATCCATTTGCAGTTGAGTTTGGGGCCGGATGATGTACATGTATTATTTTCATTCATCTACATGTAGCCATCCAGTTGGATCAGCACAATTAGACTAAGATGTTGTCTTTTCTACAGTGTGTATTTTGGTTTCTTTGTTTAAAAAAATGAACTTCTGTTTGGGTCTTCAATGCAATCCCATTGATCAACATTTCTGTTTTTATGCCAGTGTCATGGTGTTATTTTTTGCCATTGTTGCTCTATAGTACTTTTTTGAGATCAGAGATGGTGATACTTACAACACTCCTTTTGCTATTCAGGATTGTTTTAGATATATGGTGGTTTTGTGTTTCTATATGAATCTGAAAATGACTTTTTTATTTCTGTGAAGAATTCTGTGAAGTCTGTTGATGGGGAATGCACTGAATCTGTAGATTGCTTTTGGTAAAATGGCTATTATCATAACACTAATCATACCAATCCATAAGCCTGAGAGCTCTTTCCATCTTCTGATATCTTCTTCAATTTTTTATTCAATGTCTTAAAATTTTTCTTATACATACCTGGAATTTGCTTAGTTTGAGTTATTCCAATATATTTTTTGAGAATATTATGAAAGCTACAGTGTCCCTGACATCATTCTCAGTTGGATTCTCACTTATATACAGGAAGGCTACTGATTTATTTGTGTTTGGCTACTTTTCTGAAAGTGTTTATCATCTGTAGAAGTTACCTGGTGGAGTGTTTCTGGTCTTTTATGGAGAAAATCATACCATCTGAAGATAAAGACACTTTGACTTCTTCCTTTTGAATTTATATTACCTTGATCTCCTTCAGTTGTCTTATTGCTCCAGCTAGAGTTTACATACTATATTAAATAGATATGGAAAGAGTAGACAGCCTTGTTTTGTTCTTGATTTTAGTGGAATTGCTTTGATAGATATCAGAGCAATTGTGACTATTTAAAGTAATTAGAAAATGTTTCTTCAGTTTCTACTTTGGGGTATAATTTGGAAAGTATCGGTATTAATTCTTTTTTTTTTTTTCGAAACAGGGTTTCTCTGTGTGACTTTGGAGCCTATCCTGGCATCTGCTCTGGAGACCGGGCTGGCCTTGAACTCACAGAGATCTGCTGAAAGCCGAGGCCTACCTCGACTCTAGGCAGCTAGAAACTGTCTCCAAGCTGGGTGGATGGTTCTGAGCAGCTCAGCTGCAGAGGGTCAGCTGCTAGGCGGGAACGCCTGTGGAGACAGAGCGCTTTCCGGGCCTAGGCCTCGGGCCCGATGGAACCCACAGCCTGTCCCAAATGGGGTGTAGGTTTCCAGTATCCCACTTCTGACACCAGATATTGTGAGAAATTACCAATACGGAGTCAGGTAGAAATATAAGGGTATTTAATAGGGAAAAGCCTTACTTACAGAGCGACCTAGCCAGCCGGAGTGGCAGCATCTGTACACAAGCCCAAAAGAGAAACCGAAAGCGAAACTGCAGTCACCCTACGTCCCCTTGTTTGCGAGGGCGTGATCAGGCACACCTGTAGCCAACCCCTAAGTAGGCGTGGCTACAGCTTCCCCTACAGAGATCTGCCTGCCTCTGCCTCCTGAGTGCTGGGATTCAAGGCATGCACCACCAATGCCTGGCCGGTATCTACTATTTGTAGGTTCAAAAAGTCTTTTCCGGTGCCATTTAGTTCCAGCATAATCTGTACTCTCCTTTCTATCAGATTTAGAAATTGGGTCTTATATTAAGGTCCTTAATCCTTTTGGAATAGAGTCTTGAGGAGGTAAGAAATGAGAATTGATTATCATTCTTCTAAATAAATAGTGGTGGTGTTGATAGTGAGAATATCAGCAATGGCATCAGAAATGAAAAGACAAAATCTTTGACAAGTATGAAAATTAGCTGTTCATAGGTGGCTGGGACAAAAGGAGGGTGAGTCACATGGTTGATTATGATAGTAACTTTTCATTGAGGAATCATACTAGGTAGTTAATATTCCAGGAAGTACCCGAATTATAAAATGAATTTATTCCACTGAAAAGAAAATGGTCATTGAATATTAATGATTGCATATGATTAGGGATATGCATGCTGACAATATGCTATTGTTTTAATGGTATATGTAAGACAATGGGGTGCAGGAGAAATGAAGTTCAATTTCTTTTTTACGTAAAAGCCTCTTGGATTGGATTATGGTTTCTAAACTCTGAAAGGCAGTCTTTCTCCTGGAGTAGGAGCTCATTTGAGTATTATTTACGAAGACAGAGATAAATAACACTTCTGCCATTTTTCCATCTCTAAGGCAGCATTTTATTACAATTATGTAGTTTATGTATTTTGAATACAAGACTGGCTAGTAAAATATATGATTTGAGATTATAGAGGTTTAGAGCAACAAGAAATCTCTGCAAGAACAGAAAATATTCCTGGATCATAAAATATTAGAACTGAGCCTCAACATATAGTATGAAAAGAGTAAAAGGAGCTTGAAAAGAAAGAGTAGAGAGGGAAGTTGTTAAAGATAGAGACTTGGGTGGCACGGATCTAAGTGGTGTGAAGGCCGGCGTAGCCTCGAGCCGTCGAAACCATGAGCAGGGACCTTAGTGAAGATCGCGGAGATCGAAGCCAAGATAGCCTGGACTCAAAAGAACAAGGCTACAGCTCATCACCTTGGGCTGCTTAAGGCTCGCCTTGCTAAGCTTCGAAGAGAACTCATCACCCCTAAAGGTGGTGGTGGTTGTGGGTCAGAAGAAGGTTTAGATGTTGCTAAGACAGATGATGCTCGAATTGGGTTTGTGGGTTTCCTGTCTGTTTGCAAGTCAACTCTGCTGAGTAACCTAGCAGGAGTGTATTCTGAAGAGGCAGCTTATAAATTCACTACTTTGACCATTGTGCCTGGTGTCATCAGATCTAAAGGAGCCAAGATCCAGTTCCTGGATCTCCCGGGTATTATTGAAGGTGCCAAAGATGGGAAAGGCAGAGGTCGTCAAGTCATTGCAGTGGCCCCAACATGTAATTTAATCTTGATTGTTCTGGATGTCCTAAAACCATTGGGACATAAGAAGATAATTGAAGCCAGGCGGTGGTGGCGCACCCCTTTAATCCCAGCACTCGGGAGGCAGAGGCAGGCAGATCTCTGTGAGTTTGAGCCCAGCCGAGTCTACAAGAGCTAGTTCCAAGACAGCCTCCAAAGCCACAGAGAAACCCTGTCTCAAAAAACCAAAAAAAAAAAAAAGAAGAAGAGGAAGATAATAGAAAACATGTTGGGAGGTTTTGGGATTCGATTGAACAGCAAACCCCCCAACATTGGCTTTAAGAAGAAAGACAAGGGAGGCATTAATCTCACAGCCACTTGCCCTCAGAGTGAATTAGATGCTGAAACAGGGAAGAGCATCCTGGCTGAGTACAAAATTCACAATGTTGATGTGACTCTGTGCAGTGATGCCACATCTGATTACCTCATTGATGTGGTAGAAGGAAACAGAGTTTATATCCCCTGTATCTATGTATTGAATAAGATTGATCAGATCTCCATTGAGGAATTGGATATTATTTATAAGGTGTGTCACTGAGTACCCATTTCTGCCCATAACTGATGGAATTTTGATGACCTGTTGGAAAAGATCTGGGACTATCTGAAACTAGTGAGAATTTACACCAAACCCAAAGGACAGTTACCAGATTACACCTCTCCAGTGGTGCTGCCCTACTCCAGGACCATGGTGGAAGTTTCTGCATGAAGATTCACAAAAATCTTATCAAAGAATTTAAATACGCTTTGGTCTGGGGTCTCTCTGTGAAACATAATCCTCAGAAAGTGGGTAAGGACCATACATTGGAAGACGAAGATGTCATTCAGATTGTAAGTGAAACCTCTCAGCAATGGAGGAGAGGCTACCTTAAATGCCCTTTCCTGATTATGAGATTGATGACTGACTTATATACCATCCTATAGCCTTCATCCAGCAGCTGGTGGAAGTAGAAGCAAACACCCATAACTAATCACCAAACTGAACTGGAACCCAGATGCAGAGAAGGACCAGTGAAGAGCACAGAGGTCCAGACCACACTGGTGAAACACACAGAAACAGCTGACCTGAACATCCGGGAACTCTTGCTCCCCAGTCTGATATCTGGAATACCAGCATGGGACTGATCCAGACCCAAGGATCATAGGTTTCTGTGAGGAAACCTCAGAAATCTATGGGACCTCCTGTAGAAGCCCAGTATTTATCCCTAGCATAGGTGTGGACTTTGGGAGCCCATTCCATATAGAGGAATACTCCCTGAGCCAAGACACATGGGGGTCGGCCTAGGCCCTACCCCAAAGGAAATGAAAGACTCTGATGACACCCTATGGAAGGCCTCACTATCCAGGGGGAGCAGAAAAGATATGTGACAGATAAGGTTTTAGTTGGGGGGGTAGGAGAGGACGGGTGGGTAAAGGGTAATGGGATTGTCATGTAAAACAATCCTGTTTCTAATTCAAATAAAAAAGTTGGAAAAAATAATAAAAAAAAGTGAAACCTCGTTTCCCATCTGCTGGCCAGCCATAGCAATGTTCCTTAGGACCAAGTAGCCTCCTCAACCCTTCTGTCTTTGGCAGCCATTGGATTGAGACACAGGGATAGATATGGAGACTCCAAACTGGGACATCGTTTGTCTTTTTTTTTTTTTGAGGTAGGGGCCCATTTATTTCAGGCTGGCTTTGAACTCTGTAGCTGAGGCTCACCTGGAATTCGTCTTTTTCCATCAGCATCCATCTCCCAAGTGCTGGGCTTACCAGTGTGTGCTTGCACCTCAGAAACATCATCTTTCTTACCTTGGTATCACTTCTCTTGAACTGTAGATTCAAAAAAAAAAAAAAAAAAAAGGAGAGAGAAAAAAAAAAAAAAAAAAAAAAAAAACGACAGAGACTTGGAATTTAAATATTGTCTATCACAAAAGTTTGAGGCCAGGGATGAAAAAAAATGTAATGGAAGAGTTAGATATGTTATCATATCATAGAAACCAGAAGTTTGAGAAATACAGAAGTGGTAGATAAATAACATCTAAGGCCACAGACAAAGTGAGAGCAATGTGGAATGTAGGATGACCTTTGTCCTTTGAGATGAATAATAATTTTGTTCTGTTATTCTCGAACTTTGGCCTAGGTTGTATAATTGTCACTGAACAATCTAGTAGGTATGCTTCAAGGCCAAGGATAGCTATGAATATAACCCAACAAAAACTCATAAGCTTACTTAAAACTTAAGTGTTTTGTGCGGGGGGGGGGGGGGGGGGATGTAACTCAATAGTGCTGTTTGTAAGTATAAACTTTGTAGATGACAAGGCCATGTTGCCTGATTGAATAAGTAAATTGAGAGAACTTGAAAATAGCATGGATAAAATAATAGCTGGTATTCTTTTTTAATTATAGGGCTACAAATTTGAGCATAAGGAAGTATGAGACATCTTGGAATAATATCAGTGGTCGTTGAGGAAAGTGAAGTTAGGAACAAGAATTTGATTATTGTAAATTATGTGAGTATTCTGTGTTCTGTATCAGCAGTCACCAGGGTGCCACTCTGGTCTTAAGCTGTGAAAGCAGTCCTCTTACAAGTACTTGATAATTTGAGGCCATAACGCACCAGCAGGCAAATATCCTGTTTGATAAAAACATTTGATCTCCTAAGGTAGCCTTCTTTTGTCAAGCAATGCAAAGACTGCACCAGATGCAGGCTATTTTGTAAAACTTTGAAGAAACATATTGTTTAACAAAAGAATGTTCCTGGTGAGGGAGGGTTGCAGAAAAAATAAAAAAGGTTGCTGAAGAGTGTACCAGATCTCTAGAGGTTTTCCATGATGCAATCATCCTCATGCTGTAATCATCCTCACTGACCCTACACTGGCCTCTGTTTCTCTGCACTCATAGTACTTTTTATCAGCTTCCCCTTATTTAGCAGACATCCCTATTTCTGATACTTTGCAGGGCCTAATTATCTTCCATTTATCTATACAGACCTACATTTGCCATCTATGAGTCCAAAAAACATAAGTGATGTAGATTTGTTTCTATCTGAGTGTACCACCTACTTATTCATCATTTGTTTTTATTCTCTCAATTTAGCATCATCTGCAAAGTTGGAAATCATGTTTTCATATCGTAATTAGAGCTCAGAGAACCCCAGACAAACTGCCTAGTGAATACATATCCCTTTGCTTTTCGATTTGATAGTGAATTTGAAAGTGTGAAAACAAATTAGCAATAAAAAATAGAATGAAATAATATTTTCTGTAATAAAAAGCAAGGGAGCAAGGTAAAGCAACATAAGAAAAAAAGCTTTCAGCATTACAATGCAGAAGCCATATGTTCAAAGTGAAGCCATTGGTACTTCTTTTCTTTGCTAAGGAGGATCATCTAAAATGGTCCATTCTATGTTTTATAAGATGCTAAGATGATACATACAATATTGTGACTTTCATAAACAGTTTTCTTCAAAAATCACAAGGTTTATTTTTATATACAATATCAATTTGGATGAAAAAGAATGACAGTGGGTCAGTTAGGCAGACTTGGATACTACTTGAAGAAGATAGATGCCCAAGACTAAAGGAGAATGAAAGATTTGGGAAATTCTTACAGTTATGCCTCCTGTAATATATTAACCCATTGGAGCAGCCTCTCCAACACATCATTTAAGTCTTTTTCAGAATTTTCATCCAGTTTTTTTTACATGCTGTGCTAAACTACCTTCATCTGTATTGAAGCCATCTAGATGTTTTTATGGATTTAGCCCATTCTTTTAACCTTAGTCCTTCAGTAAGACTATCTATATCCCTGTATTGCAAGATTTTAGTTGGTAACTTTGAATACTTTTACCTATCACTTATTGAGGCCTTTGTATGTATATTTGTCCTGTATACTACATTACTTCAAATTTTCAATGATAGAATGATATATTGGTTATGACCAAACTAGCTTATGGTTCAGTAAGAAACAACCTCCAAATATCTGTGACCTAAATAACAGTGCTTATTTCTTGCTCACCTTCCTTATCTATTCGGCTTGTCTGTATAAGAACACACTGATTATCTTTTGTTGCTGACTAAGTTTTATGAGGACTGCTACTTGTTCCTTTCTATAATTTTAAACAGCAGAGAAAATAAAATAGAGATTCATGTTTTTCCCCAAAAGTTTCTTTCCGTAAGGGATATAACTTCTCTTGGCATGACATTTTACTACCCAAAGCAATTCTCATGGACTTCCTCCCGTTAAATAAACTGAAAACTTTTCCTATAGGTAGAGGTTCTGGATATCAGTGATTAGTAATGTCCCACATGATACTTCTTCTTTTCTTCGTTTGTTTTTTTCTATTTTTTATTTAAATTAGAAACAAACTAGTTTTACATGTCAATCCCAGTTCCCTCTCACTCCCCCCCCTCCCCTGTTCCCTCACCCTCTATCACAACCCCTTTCTGCTCCCCAGGGAGGGTGAGCAGAAAGTCTGTTATATCATTGGAGCAGGGCCTAGTCCCTCCCCCATGTGTCTAGGGTGATAGAGTATCCCTCTATATGGAGTGGGCTCCCAAAGTCCATTCGGGTACTAGGAATAAATACTGACCCACTATCAGAGGCTCCATAGGTTGCCCAGACCTCCAAACTTACGTCCTCATTCAGGGGGTCTGGAGCAGTCCTATGCTGGTTTCCTAGCTATCAATCTGGGGTCCATGAGCAATTCCTTGTTCAGGTCAATTGTTTCTGTGAGTTTCTCCAGCTTGGTCTTGACCCCTTTGCTCATCACTCCTCCCTCTCTGCAACTGGATCCCAGAGTTCAGCTCAGTGTTTAGTTGTGGGTGTCTGCTTCTGCTTCCATTAACTACTGGATGAAGGCTCTCGGATGGCATATAAGATAGTCATCAATCTCATTACTGGAGAAGGGCACTTAAGGTAGCCTCTCAAATATTGCTTAGATTGTTAGTTGGAGTCAAAAGTGTAGATCTCTGGATGTTTCCCTAGTGCCAGAATTCTCTTTAAACCTACAATAACTCCTTCTATTATGGTATCTCTTTTCTTGCTCTCCTCTATTCTTCCCCTGACTAAATCTTCCTGCTGTCTCATGTCCTCTTTATTATATCTTTATTTGTATCTTTTGGTAGAATAGTAAGGATGCATCTCTGCATATAATGTCCATTAGAAGGGCCAAAATGCAGCTGTTCAGCCAACAGAATAGTATAGAAATATTTTTATATATAAATATGTGTGGGGTTGGGGTTATTCATGTGGAGGCCATCTACTTCCTTTGAGACATGGTCTTTCATTGGCCTGCAGACCATGAAGTAGTAAAACTCACTGATCATCCTGTCTCTGCCTCTCAAACCTATAAGCATGAACCATCACACTTGGCATTTTGACTCAGGTCTTCAAGATTGTACTAGAATTTTTTTTTTACTTGCTGAGCTATTTTTCTACCCCTAATATCTTTTGTTTAAGACTTAAGTCTTTAGCAGAAATCTGCCTGGTAATTCTTCCTTCGTGCTATTATATTATTACTCTATCCTGAACCATGCTTCTGTTTTGTGCAATGTGAAAGAGATCAACAGATGCAAATCATTTTGTGTAAACACACACATACCCCCCACACCCACACAACCACATACATACAAAATAAAAGACAATAAAGTTATCAATTCTTCTCCCTCTCTTTTAAAGAATTAAACATAGGATACCAAAAACTTGGGAAACAAGAGCAAAAAATAAACAAGTAAAATTGTATGTAACTTTTTCCCTCCTGCCAGTCCCCGAATAACTACTCTGAGTCTTAATATTAATTACAAACTGTTTGGCCTATTAGCTCAGGCTTATTTTCAGCTAGCTCTTACAACTAAATTAACCCATTTCTATTAGTCTATATTTTACCATGAGGCTGGTGGCTTCTTACTTCATAACTTGATTCTCCAGTAGCTGCTGGCATCTCCCTAACTCTGCTCTTCTTCTCCTTGTATCTCTGCTTGGACATCTGGCCTGGCTCTATTCTGATTGGCTATTGACCAAATCAGCTTTTTTATTAACCAATGGTAATTAAACATATTCATAGCATATAGAGAGACATCCTGTGTAAACTATATCAACCTAAAGAGCTTTTGCAGAATAAATTACAGCAAAAATGGTATACTGTAGTTTGAAGAAAATATTTTAAATTCATATATCTTAAAAGAGATTAATATCCAAATTATACAAGAAACTCAAAAAATTCAGTAGCAAAATAATCAAATCTCAAATTAAAATTGACAAATGACCTGAATGCATGCTTCCAAAATACATAAAAATAGCCAACAAGTAGACAAAAATTGCTCAACATCATTAACCAAGGAGATGCAAATTAAATCCACAATGACTCTATATGATAGTCTTATACCTGCTAGAAAACTATTATGAAAGAAATAAAAAACAATAAACAAACCACGATTGGCTGAGATAAGTTGAGGATGTGTGTATAAATGGGAATCAGTATAACTGTTGTACACCATTGGTGGGCACATAGGTTGGTATACTGTTTGTGGGAAGCAACATGAAGGTTACTAAATAAATTAAAATGTAAGTTCCTTTACATACCCAGAAAACTGTCTTCTTTTTCTTTTCATAAAGGAAATTAAATAATCATCTCTTGAAGTCACATTTTGCTAAGGTGAGCATGATAATGAAACAAGGAGGTTGTGCAATTTGTAACAACATAGATGGAAGTAGAGTACTATAATAAGTGAAATAAACCAGAAAAAAGCAAATACTACATGATCTCAATCTAGCAAAACAGAAACCAAATACATAGAATTGTAGTTACAACATGCACAATGAGAGATCTGAATACAGAAAATGGAAAGACATAGGTCAAAGGACACAAAGCTATATTCATGTAAGTGCCTAAGTATAGAAGTCTAGTGTACCACATGAGAACTTTGCTTAATAAAAATATGTGGTGTGCGGGAACTGTGCCAAGTTATTAGTTTTTTAATACTCTTGCTACAAAAGGAAGGAAGGAAGGAAGGAAGGAAGGAAGGCTATACTGGAATGAAATTTTAACTTTAATTAAATTAATCATTATATTAGTGTACCTTTGAGCATTACTATATTGAATCTCTTTATTTTAGTTTTGTTTAAACTAAAACACTTGGAGTTTCTTAACTCTAAATCCCTGATACTTTCTGTATGCACTTTTGTATAGTAAGCCTGGGAATTTATTTTAACACTCTAACCAACACCCTACCAGTCTGTCAGCCAATAGGAATCTTTTTCAAAGAGCAGAATTATTGAGAGGGAAAGGTGGAAATATGGAGAATTTTCTAATCATTTTTAGAAGCTCACAAACTGAAGCATAGATAGGAGCAGGCAAGGCCTATTCTTTTCTTTGAACTTGAGATGCCTTTAATCAATAGTGTAAACAAATGGAAACGAGAACATACATAATTATGAAATGAACAAAACGGTCACAACTTAATTTGGCTTATTTTATTATGAGTTCTCCATTATTTGACAGTTGTTGAATTATTTGTTTATTTTTCAACTTTATTAATTCAATCTCGTGTTCCCTATACTATTGTTTTAAATGTTTAAATCTCTAGCTTTTGGGAATCATGGAAACCACTGAAAATACTGAATGCTCAAGTTGAAATATTTAAAAAAAACAAACCCTCATTTCATATAAAATTTCAACCACTAGCTTTGCCTCAGACTCTCCATCTCAGGGTAATTGAAAGGGACTTAAACTCACAGGCACTACTTCTGACTGTTAGGGTTCTGCCTTGATAACTGACTGCACATGCAAGGATTTTATCTGTCACCACAGGCTCAGGGCAGAATGAGTCCCTGCATGTCAGAACTGCTATCTCCCATGGCTTGCACAGACTTCACCTTCAGCTGCCTGTGATCATAAACAACAGTTTTGGTCATCAAAAATGTGTACCACAGGGCTGGCTGCTGCTTTCTGTCTTATGTAGGGAAGGCATAAATAGAGTAGCATGGTTTTAAAAGTCTATACTATAAGTTAAAGATGGATGAATGTACTCTTCCAAAGTGCCAAACACATCCATGCCTGAAACAAGGGAACTATATAGGCTCATATATACACAATTTTAAAATATCCTGTCATCCAAACTTACCAAACTTTTGCATTTAATTGTTATTTAGGCAGTTTTTGTTTTGTTTTGTTTTTAACCTAATACATGTAAGGCAGTTTACAACTTGAACAAAGAGACTAGATGTCTCAAAAATATGCTACTTATGAAGAATTTAATAGTCATATTCTGTAATGATAACTCTTTCTGCCAGCTGCGTGGGTTCTGCCACAGCTTTAGGGCCCCCAAATAACACATAGAGTCTTATATTAGTTACAATGCTGCTGGCCAATGACTAGGATTTCTTATTTGCTAGCTCAGTCTTAATTATCAACCATAACTACTAACTAATCTATATATTTTTATAAGGATTTATCTTACTGAGAACACCAGTCTTCTGTGTTCACTCTTCCTGGGATCACATGGTGACTCTCTCCCTTTCCTACATTTCTCAGAATCCTCCTTCTCTGCTAGTCCACCTAACTTGCCCACCTATTGGCCGACAGTGCTTTATTTATCAACCAATAAGAAACATACACACAGAAGGACCTCCCCTATCAATATTCTAGAGTTAATCTAGTTCCCAATAATTACCAAAAACTTGATCATACAAATAAAAACACAAAATGTTCAGATTGAGGACCCATTGACATTCACGTGATCTGATGCATCCACTCTACCAATAGGGAATAAAAGTTCAGGTAGTGAAAATACTTGGCAAATGTTACTGATATTTAGAATAGTAGAGTCAGTATAAGGACTCAGAATTCTTGACTTTTTTTGCTATTTCACAAAAACAACACTAGACAATCTACAAATATGCATTTACCTCAGAAGATGTTTTTGAAGGCTCTTGAGATATAATTCTTACATTAGCCTAATATTAAGAAGTTTAGAAGCAGAGATCATAATGACCATTAGGTGATTCCTGGTGTGTGTTATTCAAATATGCAACAGCATTCAGAGATAAGCAAATATACTGGATTTGCAAGTCAGCAGTAGATCATGTGCTTAGCATGAGTCTTAATTAGGGCTTCTGTTGCTGTGCAGAGACACTATGACCACAGCTACTCATAAAAAAAAAAACCATTTAATTGTGGTGGCTTGCTTATAGTTTCGGAGGTTCAGTACAATGCTATCATGATGGGGAGCACAGAGGTGTACAGGCAGATGTGGTGCCGGAGAAATAGCCAAGTGTCCTACATCTTGCAGGCAATAAAACCTCCACTGACTTTCACACTGAAGGGAGCCTGAGCAAAAGAGACCTCAAAGCCTCCCCAGTGACACACTTCCTCCAATAAGGCTATACCTCCTAATAGTGTCACTCTCTTTGAGGGCCATTTTCTTTCAACTCACCACAACATGTGTGAGGCTCTGAGTTCAATCCTTATTACCAAACACACACACACACACACACACACACACAAAAAAAAAAAAAAACATAAATAAGAAGCATGGTGATTGGAAACAAAATTAAGCTGACATTTGTGAAATGACACCATAATGTTTTTGAATCTTTGTTAAAATATATTTCATATTGCATATTGTGAGGACATGGGAAAGCTTTCAGTGAATGTGTATGAGGCAAATAAAGTCCTGAGGTTTTTTTTTTCTTAAAAAATGTATTGTTTAGCACGGGCATGGCTATGTCCAGGACCAATGTTTCAGACACATAGAAACTTGGTAAAACCTTACCTGGAGGTGAAGCTTAGAGGGATGGCAAAGTCTTCCTCTGACCTAAGTGCAAATGTTGACAATATACACAATTGCAAGTGTTTATGAAGCATTGACCAGTATGATAAAAACCTAGCAACCACAGCTTTCTCCTAGAAGTTTTCAGCCTGAGACTGCTTTCTGCTATGGAGACTAACTATCGATACCCTCACACAATGCTGTACATAACAAATGTGCCTAGGTTCTGGGCTGTTGCTTAGTTGGTGGTCTTCCATCAGAGATCACACAAATCACCTGACCCCAGTTTTTCTTCACATGTGTCTGTCCTTCCTTCTTTCCCTCACTGCCCCAGGCAGGTTTCTAGTACCAAGCCATGAAGAATGCTGCAGCATATGATTCACCACTTCAAAGCACACAAATTGTTTATAGTGGGTTGAAAGTTATGCAGTCATTGCCATAATCTTATTTTAGAACATTTCCATAGCCTTAGCAGGAACACTGCACCCATTAGCAGTTGCACCTCTTCCCAATCTTCCCAGCATTAACTACTTCAACCCTTAATCTACTTTCTACCTCTACACATTAGTCTATTCTGTCATCGGTTATGGAATGAGGATCCTTGGGTGGGTATGAGTGTGGGGTGCAGCCAAAGCTACTTACTTTTAGGCTTTGAACTAGAAATAGGGGGAAGAGTGAAATGATACATTATCAATCCAATGCCATCGTGGAATAGGTGGTTCCAGTGCCAGACAAGCAAGATACCCAAAGTTCCAAAGACAATTAAGGTAAGGGTCTCTGTACATGTGTGCATAGTGAAGGAACCTAAGAGCTATCTGGGAGATGTAAAGAATGGGCTTTAGAAAGATTGATATAGAAACAAAAGTGAATCACAATAACTATTGAGATACTTGAAGAACCTGGAACCTAAACAATGAAAGTAGAAAATCACTTTGGAAGAGGAAATACAATTAAATTTGTTTTTAGTATTCATCTTTCTTTATAGAATGTCTTTGCAAAAGTATTTTATTTAAAAATGAACTTCAATTTCTAGGTTTCTGTACAGAACATCACCAGTAGTTTTGGTGTTGTAGCCTTCATGTTTTTTCCAACTTAAGGAAAGGTTTATCTTGGACCATGGTTCGAGGGTTGTAGTAGTTTGAATGAGAATGACCCTGGCAATATATTTGAATTATTGGTCCTCAATAATTGCAGAACTGTTTGGGGGAAGTTTAAGAGATGTGACTTTGGGCTGGAGAAATGGCTCGGCCGTTGAAAGCTAGGCTCATAACCAAAAATATAAGAGATGTGACCTTGTTGGAGGAGGTGAGTCACAGGGGGCTGGCTTTTCCAACTACCTGTTACTACTTGTGGATCAGATGTGAACTCTCAACTACTGCTCCAGCACCATGCCTACCTGCCTGCTGTCATGCTCCCCACCACGATGAACTCACTATCTGAAACTGTAAGCCAGCCCACAATTAAAGGCTTTTTTTAATAAGTTGCCTTGGTCATGGTGTCTTTACACAGCAATAGAAAAGTAACAAGGGTATAGTCCATTAATTGGTCAGAAGAGCTTTGGGAATTCGGTCACAATTCATCCAGGCAAAAGGCAAAGAGTGACAATGCTTCTGCCCAAATCACTTTCTCCATTTAATCTAGTTCAGGCCCCCAACCTATAAAATAGTGCTGCATCCATTTAGGGTAAGTTTTCCCATCTCAACTAGATAACCTCTTACAAGCAGGTCCAGAGGCTTGTCTCCTAGGTGGTTCTAGATTTTATCAAGTTGACAATATTAATCACGCATGGCAAATACTGGACCCCAACTGAGCTCATGCTAAGCCTCCTTGTTGAGAATCTTTATCAAGCCTTAGTGGGGATGCTGTGGTTGTTATTTGACAAAAGAGAATGGTATACCTACAGCTCATCTTTCAAAAGCACAGAAGGAATCACAGCGATATTTTTTCTTACTTCTGTTTTCCAGCTACTTATTTCATATCTGTAAATATCACCACATTTACACAGATTTTTCTCTCTTCTTCCAGAAGTACCTATTGCTTATAATAAGATTATCTGTGTAACTATGTCATATCAACACTTTACATTTAGCTGTGTCATATAAATCACAATTTCACAAAAGTTTCCTTAAAATTTTAAAGAGAATATTTCATATGTTAAGTGTTCTTATGACAGAAAACTCTGAAAAGATAAAAGTGTTGAAGATATTGAATATGTTTATACATAAATTAAGTTTGTACAGCCTTGACATGTGAATTATAGCTAATAAATTAAAAGAAACAATTAATCAATGGGAAAACAGAATGTATAAATTGTATAAAACAGATCATGAGTAAACAAAACTAAGGAAATTATACAGTTTATATCACTACTAGACTTTTAGTGAATATACATCTAGGTGAACGTGCATGTGTGTGCAGATGTATGTGCTGGGCAGAGGTCAATTTCAGGTGTTATTCCTTAGAAACTGTCTACCTCATTTTTTTTAACAGGATCTCTCACTGCCCCAAGGTTCTATGAATAAACTAGACAATCTAGTAAACCACAGTAATCTGCCATCTCTCTCTCCCTGGTACTGGGATTACAAACATAATACCACACTTTCCTCTGTTTCACATGGGTTCTGTGGACTGACCTCAGGTCCTCAAACTTTCAAGACAAACAACTACTAACAAAACAATCTCCATCCCTATAGCTAATCTTTTACCAAAATTAGATTGTAACAGGCTTTCTTGTACCACCAGCTCCAAAGTCATGACACAGAGACTTATTAACTATGGAAGCTCTGCCTTAGCTTAGGCTTGTTTCTAGCTATCTTTTTTCTCTTTAACTTAAATTAACCCATTTCTATTAATCTTTGTACTGCCTCCAGGCAAGTTTATGTCATCTACATACTGTCCATCCTGCTTTCCTGTTTGCCCTTTGTCTGGATGACAGGCTCCCAGCTGGCTGACGGCTGGCTGAATGGTTTCCCTTTTTTCTCTCTGTCTAGCTATTGGCCTTTCAGCTTTTTATTAAACCAATCAGGTGCCTTAAGCAGGCAAGGTGAAATAGCAACACATCTTTACATTATTAAGCAAATCCAGCATAAACAAATGCCACACATCTTTATATAGTTAAGCAAATATTATTCCACAACATGACATCACACTGGAGAAGTTATTGGGTATCCTGTTCTTTTCTTTTAACAATCTCTATTTTATCATGTCAATACATTGCTCTCCAATGATTGCACTAGATCCTGAGACCCATACCTCCATGAAAAGAAAGTACCCAAGTAAGTGCATTGTTGACAGATGCCTCCCTAATGCAGTAGGCAGCACATGTCTCATTATCTAAAAGCATTATTGGGTGTAAATGAGGAAATCTCACAGGAGCCCAATCCTAAATGAAGCACTACAGGCAACAAATGACTTTTGAGAGAGGGGGTATTAGTGTTCCCTAGGGAAGAGCCAGTTGATTATCTAATACAAAGCAGACAACCCAAAAGACAGATAAGCGCAAGCAGCTCTTAACAGACTCAGCAGTTTTTTTTTTTCCCTTTTTTTTTTTTTTTTTGGTTTTTCAAAAAGGGGTTTTTTTTTGTTTTTTAAAAAAGGGTTTTTTTTTGGTTTTTTAAAAAAGGGTTTTTTTTTGGTTTTTTAAAAAAGGGTTTTTTTTTGGTTTTTTAAAAAAGGGTTTTTTTTTGGTTTTTTAAAAAAGGGTTTTTTTTTGGTTTTTTAAAAAAGGGTTTTTTTTTGGTTTTTTAAAAAAGGGTTTTTTTTTGGTTTTTTAAAAAAGGGTTTTTTTTTGGTTTTTTAAAAAAGGGTTTTTTTTTGGTTTTTTAAAAAAGGGTTTTTTTTTGGTTTTTTAAAAAAGGGTTTTTTTTTGGTTTTTTAAAAAAGGGTTTTTTTTTGGTTTTTTAAAAAAGGGTTTTTTTTTGGTTTTTTAAAAAAGGGTTTTTTTTTGGTTTTTCAAGACAGGGTTTCTCTGTGGCTTTGGAGGCTGTCCTGGTACTAGCTTTTGTAGCCCAGGCTGGTCTCGAACTCACAGAGATCTGCCTGCCTCTGCCTCCTGCAGACTCAGCAGTTTTAATGTGTGTAATTATTTATTTACAGAGATATGTAGCAATTAATTTGAGAAGGAGCAGTTGGAGGACATGGGAAAATTTGGAGGTAGGAAAGGTGGAATGTGAAACTTAATAAGAGTGAGAAAAATAAAGAACATTTTGGAGAAAATAGAATCCAAACATCACAATTGGAAGTAAGTTTTTAACACACTTAAAAATATTGTCATATTTATTACCACAAAAAAACTTAACTTAGCAAAGGTACTTCCTAACTAAATCGCTCATTATCTCAGCCGTGTGGAGCAAGTATCCAGACATTTATGATAGTTGTGCCATAGTGCCTGTATGAGGTCAGAGGACAACTTGCAAAAGTCACTTTTCTCCTTCTACCATCTTAGTCGTGGGTAATCAGTCTTGTCAGCAAGTGCCTTTACCCACTAAGCCAACCCAGAATCAAATTGTACCTCAGCCCAACCCCCATGATTTGTTAATCCTGACTGTTCCTGTTCCCTGGGT